GGGGGGACACTTCAGTGTCACCAGAGACCCTTCTGAGAGTTTTGTAAGTGAACAGAAACCGTGACTAGGTAGCTTAAAAGGTCAACATAACGCCACTGTTATGAATTTCTTTTGCTAGACTCTGGAGAACGAATCAACTGTTTATTGTCAAAATTAATTAAACTGTGACATTCCGCAATCAATGAAAGAACAAAGAAGGAAGAGTATTTAATAGTGAGTTAATTTTTACATGTTACGATTGATTCACTTCTTCAGAGCCTCCTTTTTATCCAATGGGATGAAAGGGCTTGAATGATGCTTTTGAGAAAAGAAAACAGTGACTAATAAGCCATGATAGCTAGGCTTTGCCTATCAGGCCATTGTTAACGTTGACGGTCACTACAACATTGGTAGCTAAATACGTCAGTTACCTAGTAAACCAGTGCATTTTTGCTTTTACCTGATTGACCTTTCCATCTGACATTAATCTTTGTTTAAGTTCCCCGGAGGCTATACTGACAAGACACACCTAGAATTGATATCACACAAAGGGCCTACTTTGTGCGAGCTCAGCTTAGTAACGGGGGAGTACTACATGATAACAGGTATGTCAGTGTGAAATAATGCAATAAGATTACATACTGTGACATTGATCAACTTTGCAAAGTTTGAGAGCTTTAAAAGTATAATGCTTTGATCATTCGTTCCTGCTCAGGAGTTTGGAGTATAAGGCGGGTAATTCTTTGACAGGGGGTCAATTTTCCAACAGGGCAAAGCCGTTGATAATTATTTTTGGTGTTGTAATATATACACTAAGAGATATGTGTGTAACCATAATAAATTATGAATTATTTAATCGATAATGATATGTCAAAGACGGGATAAATTGAAAATGTTTACGTTTTATATCAGATTTATGCCATATTCATGAACTAAAACTAAACAAGGTTTAAAACATGTTATTTAACCGGTTTTATCTATCAGCCAAATTTCGTTTTGGTTCGCATGTGAAAACATTGGTTTTAATTTGTGTTACGATAACGTAAAGATGTATCCATACCTAGACTGAAATGCAGGTTTCAGTACATTAATCGTAGTGGTCTCGGCGGCACGTAGAATTCCGCCAAGGAAAGGTTTGTCAATTCGAATACCTATGCCATGTCAAAATATATTTTTTATTGAGCATGAATATTATTTTATTGCATATATACACTTTTTTCATCGAACATATTCTTTTTTTCTTGCACATCTACAATTATTGAAAACAAATATAAATTATTGCACATATATTTACAATTTTTAAATACATATATAAATCATATATCTTTACAATTATTGAACACAAAAATATAATTTCGAACATTAATATAAAGTTATTGAATATTGCAACGTTTGACACGCCATCAATACCTAACATGTTCTATTTTTTTTAAAACCCATGTCGCAATTATTCTACCAAAGATCAACATACCATTTATTTGTTTGATTTGTATAATTGGCAAGCTGCCAAGCTCCTAACGCTTATGGTATGCTCGAATAGGATGGATAATTAGAAAATGAAATGGCATTCATAATCACCGATAGTGTTTTATACGTTTAAAGGGTCCATGTAGGATACTGTATGAGTTCCAAATATGTGCCAGGTCAAAAAAAAGAAAAGTCTGTTTCTTTCTCGGAGGCAATATTTTAGAATCAATTTTGAACTAACAAATGACAAATGCAATAACTGCAAGGAGAATGCTTACAATTCACTGAGAATTACGTCCCCATTGATGTATTTGTACTGAGAACATTCCTAATGTTTGAGTAGAAAGAGAGTATTGTTTTGGAAGTTGCATCAAAAGGATACTATTCTATAACATCTGGTGTTTGTAAAACCACTTAACCACTGTATTATTAGTTTAACCTGTTGATAATGAATAAAGAGTCAATGGTTTAGTAATCGTGTACGTGTACAAATATTATGTATACATTTCAAATTACGCTCGTCTTCAGTATATCACAACTCTGTTATCAGAGAAACGGTTAATTGTATCAAACCAAGGCGACATAGGTGAAGTAGATATAAGTACAGCCGTTTGACGTTAGGAATTGGGTTGTAATTACTGAATTATTTTCTCTTTGGAATGTTTATGCCAATAGCTGGCGCTAGGTGCGGGAATGACATTTTAATTGTACTGATTCAAGAGACAAGTTATATTCCAATTTTTTTTTCTCTTCAAAATAGGATATGTGAACAGTGACAATGAGTACCTAGTGAATTCCTGTATGTGGACAGAAAATTTTGAATCGATGACGTCCAGCAGGTATAACGGCCTTCTTGGAAACTACGATTGCAGCTGCTATGTAAGATATTTATATCTTAAGATACGCTTAAGTGAACGGTTTTGTTTTTGTTTTTGTATGTATGACAGCTCTAAAATGTTATTTTCTCTGCGAAACAAGTTGACTAAAGAAATGGAAGAGGGCGGGATAGTGTTTCTAGTTAAACGTTTAGTTTGGTACGCTAATCAACATGCAGACACAATGCTCGCTTCCGGTTGTACTGGACGATCAAATGACAGACTGAGGCGCCTCGATTATACATTTCCATAAGTTACTCTATCTCAAGGAAGATGCTCATTGGATATGAGAGCAGTGCTAAAGGTATATCACAAAAACAGTTGCTTAGTGGCACGAGGGCAGTGTATCATTAGGGAGATGTTTAGTAGGCACGAGGGCAGTGTAACATAAGGGAGATTTTTAGGAGGCACGAGGGCAGTGTATCATAAGGGAGATATTTAGTAGGCACGAGGGCAGTGTATCATAAGGGAGATGTTTAGTGGCACGCGGAGAGTGTAGTTTAAGGGCAATATTTAGTAGGCCCGAGGGCAGTGTAACATAAGGCATATGTTTAGTAGGCACGAGGGCAGTGTAGCATAAGGGAGATTTTTAGGAGGCAGGAGGGCAGTGTATCATAAGGGAGATATTTAGTAGGCACGAGGGCAGTGTATCATAGGGGAAATGTTTAGTGGCACGAGGGGAGTGTAGTTTAAGGGAAATATTTAGTAGGCCCGAGGGCAGTGTAACATAAGGCATATGTTTAGTAGGCACGAGGGCAGTGTAGCATAAGGGAGATTTTTAGGAGGCAGGAGGGCAGTGTATCATAAGGGAGATATTAAGTAGGCACGAGGGCAGTGTATCATAAGGGAAATGTTTAGTAGGCACGAGGGCAGTGTATAATAAGGGAGATGTTTAGTAGGCACGAGGGCAGGGTATCATAAGGGAGATGTTTAGTTGGCACGAGGGCAGTGTATCATAAGGGAAATGTTTAGTAGGCACGAGGGCAGTGTATAATAAGGGAGATGTTTAGTAGGCACGAGGGCAGTGTATCATAAGGGAGATGTTTAGTTGGCACAAGGGGAGTGTAAACGTGTTACAAAATAGTTGTTTCGTGGGCTGTTGGCTCGAGTACAGCGTATTACAAAGGAGTTGTTTAGTGGGCTAGCGGACAGTGTGTTACACAGGAATTATTTAGTAAACTCGAGGACAACGTTTTACAAAGGAGTTGTTTAGTAGGCTCGAGAACAGCGTATCACAAAGGAGTTATTTAGTAGGCTCGAGAACAGCGTATCACAAAGGAGTTGGTTAGTAGGCTCGAGAACAGCGTACTACAAAGGAGTTGTTTAGTGGGCTGGAGGACTGCGTATTACAAAGGAGTTGTTTAGTAGGCTCGAGAACAGCGTATTACAAAGGAGTTGTTTAGTAGGCTCGAGAACAGCGTATTACAAAGGAGTTATTTAGTGGGCTCGAGAACAGTGTATCACAAAGTAGTTGTTTAGTAGGCTCGAGGACAGCGTTTTCCAAAGACGTTATTTAATTGGCTCAATGACGTTTATCTGTCCGACTTTCGTCAACTTTGAAGGTTACACAGGGTAAGATATGTCAAAAACGTCAAACGACTTTTTCCAAAGAACCAAAAGGCCTAGACCCATGATACTTGGTTGATAGCTTTGAAGAAAGGAACCTGATAAAGTCCTCTAGTGGACTCGAGGACAGCGTATTACAAAGGATTGTTCAGTGAGCTTGTGGACAATATCATTATAATTGGGCGAAAAGATAACAGGTGTTCAGTGTTCAATTAGCAAGGGAACACTATTGTGGTATGACAAAGTTTGCCTAGTGGAACAAACAGCAATTTTACCACAAAGGATTAATAAGTATACAATATGATGCTGCTTTAAATAGTTCTGTAGATTTATTTGTAACTCATTTCATTTCAGATCAACGAGACTTGGGGATTAATTCCACCAAAGGCAACAGCCCGTGACATTTGTAACTATGACAAAACAACTTCTTGTGAGCATGCAGCATGCATGAGAGGAGAGGACGACACGTGTGAATGGCTACTAAACTGTGAAGAAGCCACTTCTGATTTCTTCAAAGATTTGAAAAGAAAAACCAAGAAGGAACTGGATAACATTTTGTAATTTTATCTTAAGCTTCATTACATTGTAATTTCCGAATCTAACTAAATTTTCCTTAATGCAGTTGACTGTTGTTGCGTATTTTTCCCCCCAAGAATAATAAAACGAAGGAAAAGACACTATTCCTGCAAAGCAGTCTCCGATGAAATAGTATTAAGCTTTAACACACAAAGCAGTCTCCGATGAAATAGTAGTAAGCTTTAACACACAAAGCAGTCTCCGATGAAATAGTAGTAAGCTTTAACACACAAAGCAGTCTCCGATGAAATAGTAGTAAGCTTTAACACACAAAGCAGTCTCCGATGAAATAGTAGTAAGCTTTAACACACAAAGCAGTCTCCGATGAAATAGTAGTAAGCTTTAACACACAAAGCAGTCTCCGATGAAATAGTAGTAAGCTTTAACACACAAAGCAGTCTCCGATGAAATAGTAGTAAGCTTTAACACACAAAGCAGTCTCCGATGAAATAGTAGTAAGCTTTAACACACAAAGCAGTCTCCGATGAAATAGTAGTAAGCTTTAACACACAAAGCAGTCTCCGATGAAATAGTAGTAAGCTTTAACACACAAAGCAGTCTCCGATGAAATAGTAGTAAGCTTTAACACACAAAGCAGTCTCCGATGAAATAGTAGTAAGCTTTAACACACAAAGCAGTCTCCGATGAAATAGTAGTAAGCTTTAACACACAAAGCAGTCTCCGATGAAATAGTAGTAAGCTTTAACACACAAAGCAGTCTCCGATGAAATAGTAGTAAGCTTTAACACACAAAGCAGTCTCCGATGAAATAGTAGTAAGCTTTAACACACAAAGCAGTCTCCGATGAAATAGTAGTAAGCTTTAACACACAAAGCAGTCTCCGATGAAATAGTAGTAAGCTTTAACACACAAAGCAGTCTCCGATGAAATAGTAGTAAGCTTTAACACACAAAGCAGTCTCCGATGAAATAGTAGTAAGCTTTAACACACAAAGCAGTCTCCGATGAAATAGTAGTAAGCTTTAACACACAAAGCAGTCTCCGATGAAATAGTAGTAAGCTTTAACACACAAAGCAGTCTCCGATGAAATAGTAGTAAGCTTTAACACACAAAGCAGTCTCCGATGAAATAGTAGTAAGCTTTAACACACAAAGCAGTCTCCGATGAAATAGTAGTAAGCTTTAACACACAAAGCAGTCTCCGATGAAATAGTAGTAAGCTTTAACACACAAAGCAGTCTCCGATGAAATAGTAGTAAGCTTTAACACACAAAGCAGTCTCCGATGAAATAGTAGTAAGCTTTAACACACAAAGCAGTCTCCGATGAAATAGTAGTAAGCTTTAACACACAAAGCAGTCTCCGATGAAATAGTAGTAAGCTTTAACACACAAAGCAGTCTCCGATGAAATAGTAGTAAGCTTTAACACACAAAGCAGTCTCCGATGAAATAGTAGTAAGCTTTAACACACAACGTAGACTCCAACGAAACATTATGTAGCTTTATTTCGCACACAAAGCAGTCTCCGATGAAATAGTATTAAGCTTTAACACACAACGCAGACTCCAACGAAACATTATGTAGCTTTATTTCGCACACCTAGCAGACTCCGAAAATAGCTTTATTTAAATCACAAAAAGAAGCCCAATCTCTTGTTAAATGTATGTAACCTTCAAAGATGGCTAGATGTATAGGTATAAAAAAAGAGGCCAATGAGCATCCGTCTAGAGTGTGGAGGTCCCGTTCTGGCTGTGCATTTTTCCCTCTCCTGTTACAAGTACGTAGAGCAACGATTTTCCTATGATCATTTTCTAAACGTCTTGTCAAAATTATTTTTTCCCTGCAACAAAATGTCAATAAAAGAAAAACCTAAGGATCCTCAGGATCAAATTAAGATTTTCTGTTATTTCTCCTACCGGACCTCATTCTCTTATACAAAGATGAATCTCCTTTAGGTAAAGGACTCTCCAAAATGAACTTAATTGTCTTAACCTGTACTCAATGAGTATGATTTAACAATTTACCTTTTTCATCCCCCATTACACCCTTCCCCTATGCCCCCAGAATGGTCACACCCATCTCTGATACAATGTGTCCCTTTAACCAATGTATGCTCCAGGCCAGATTCCGGTTCAGATTATTTTACCTGAAATCAAAAAGAAGGATTTAATATATGTACCTATGTTTCCAGAGTGGGGTCCCGCCCTTAACCCCTAGAGGTGATAGCTTGTTGGTCATCGAACTTCATTCGGCTTTTAGGGGGAGGGATTTTGTTCTAATTGGAAGAATATGAGAATAGTTTTTTCTATGATTTTGGGGGTTACAATTTCGAAATGTCATATAAAGCCCTACACCAGTCTAACCATTTAACTTTTACTGAGTGTGAAGAAGTGTTTTGAAGCTTTTGATATGTATGCATTTGATCCCTGCGGACTTCAAAATAGGTCATAATAAGTTTTATCCTCAGACTTTATCAGGTCCCTTTCTTCATAGCTATCATCCAGGTATCATGGGTCTGTGCCTTTTGGTTCTTCAGAAGAAGTCATTTGACATTTTTGACATATCTTACCCTGTGTAACCTTCAAAGTTGACAAAATTAAATTTATTTAAAACACATTTACCATATAGGTCAGAAAGATGAAATTCTTTTTATTTACAAAGAGGAATAGGGTATATTAGATCTCGCTGTCCAATTTGTGCAGGTTCAATAAGCTCAGCAAAACAGGAAATTTTCCAAATTGTAGCCGGTCAAAACGCATGGTTACTGAGCTTATTCCGATCATTGGTAGAAAAGAAAAATACTCATTCATGCCCAGGAGTGCAGGACATGGAAATGCCAACCACAGCTTTTTTAAATTAGACAAAACTCTCGGCAAGCCTAGGATTTACAAAATTGGAATACTACTGGGATGGATTTCCCTATTCTTAACCATAGGAATGAAAAAGTCCTAAAAATATGAGTCCCCATCAAACATTTTTTAGGATGACAATATGTATTGTGTGAGCGTACACATCTGCATGCTGATGTATTCTTCCGAAAAAACGAACTTGTTACCTAATCCTTCTTATAATGAAAACATAGTATTGGGACAAGGTTCCGAAGTTTTACCTTCTTCGTTTTCGCTCTAGGATGTATAATTTAGTTAGTGTATTTAGCAAAACATGTCCACCATGGCATATTGTCTAGTCGTAGGGCAATGCATTTTCCCTACCGCGTAATATTGTCTAGTAATGATACATTAAATCCACTTAAACTTCTAGTCGCGAAATGTGAATGGGCGGATTGGTCGAGCGGTTAACACTTCGGCCTTCCACGCATGGAATATTAGAGAAAGCGCTTTTCTCCTGCCCAAACAACTCCAACAACCCAGGTGGATAATAAAATGGTCTGGGGTGGATGTTGCGGTATCTGTGATGTAGCATTCAAGTGAGGTGGCACTATAAAAGATGCCGTTGGAAGCACGGTCCCACTACAAACAGAACACAATACATCTCCAGCATACACGCAGGCATACACACAAAGGGAAATACTTGCCAGTTGGCATTGGACTAGTAGTTAGCGCCTGATAAGAAAGCTCCTGCGAATTCTTCAAAATTGTATATCCTAATTATATTAATTGTATATATATGTACTGTAAAGCGCTTGAGAGTGGCTTATGTAAGCTAGATAGGGCGCTATATCAAATGTTTTATATTATTACATTATTATACAATACGTATCCTTTCTGTGACACACTTTCTGGTCACGATACAATACGTATCCCTATTGTGACACATCGTCTAGTCACGATACAATACGTATGCCTACTATGACACATTGTCTAGTCACGATACAATACGTTTCCCTACTATGACACATTGTCTAGTCACGATACAATACGTATATCTACTATGACACAGTGTCTAGTCACGATACAATACGTATATCTACTATGAGACATTGTCTAGTCACGATACATACGTATATCTACTATGATACATTGTCTAGTCACGATATATACGTATATATACTATGACACAGTGTCTAGTCACGATATATACGTATATCTACTATGATACATTGTCTAGTCACGATATATACGTATATCTACTATGACACAGTGTCTAGTCACGATATATACGTATAT